CAATTTTCTACAAATGGAATAGACACCTTTAATAAATTTTAATAACTCTTAACCTCATGTTAGAAACAAAACTAAATTTATTGAACTGCTTAACAAAAACCTCTTATTTTTGTTAGTAATATACAGGGTGTCTTACGGAAACGGCCCATTGGAATTATTTCAGACTACTCTGAATTTTGAAAATTTGGGATTCCGGGTTTTCGGGCATGCCCTTCTCAACTAAAATAATGGCGTCCACGGTTATACCGGAAGTCGCCACCTACTTAATTATTTTAAATGGAACACCCTGTATATTATTGCAATTTTGGATTCTACGTGTTATTTTAGGTGGGCTTTTATGGAGTTTACCTATTCCTAAAATTAAGGTTTGAAGTTAACTAAACTCGGCGTTAAATTTCTAGCACCCTGTGTGCAATTAAGCCACTTTGAAAGTATGGATGGGAAGCTTAGAGATCTAGCTATCTCCCCTATAAATATTGTTGCTTTACCTTTCTTACTACAAAATACACATGGTTTGAAGCTAGTCACTGTTTCTCTCCATTTAAAAAAAATAAATAAATATCTGGAAAGTGATCTATCTAACGTGTAAATGAAGGAATTTGAGTAACATAAGGTAAAATATGTTCCAGCCCTTTTCTAACCTACTGACATACACTGATACCATTAAAAATATATAAAATGAACCCGATAGAAAATAAATCCTCACCGAGGCAATCTATAACACCAAGGCGTGTTCCCCTGCAACAACGGAAACGGCATCACGCCATGTGTCGTGATCCCATCTGCACAATGAGCAAACACACTGGAATGATTTGTTTAGCCGCTAAATCACGTTTAACCCTCTTGTTACAAAATTCTAACAATGCAATCTTCGGACGATCTCTCATGCAGCTGTGGGATAATATTTGACACTCTTGTAACAATTTACAATTAATAAAGACATAAAATTCAGGAAAAGAATGTAATGGACATTTAATCCAAAATTCCTATTAGTTCAGATGGATTTCCCGATTACACAAGCTCGCTGAAAATTACATATATTTAGTCAAAGGAGGATATGAAGCAATACCACCTTTGGTTCGGCGAATGAACAATACAGAGACGTTATCCGCAAATAACTGCAATTTATAGCCGTTCAGGAGATTATCAGAAACCGTATCCTGCTCTGCGATTGATTAATACCGGCCGTAACGACTATGTAACCTTCATGCCTTCATTAAAAATTATGGCTTTTCTATAACGAATTTATAGTTCATAAAATTTGAAACGCGATTAATAAATTATGAAAATGTATTTGTAACATCTAATTTGTTTTGGATAATCCTCATAAATACTATTATTTTTACAATGTCACCATAAAAGGTCTGTTACATAAGGCAGATACAGGGTGGAAAAGTTTTCGATACCCAGACCGAAAAAACGTCATGAAAATTCGCACAATTGATCCTAAAATTGTTGCAGGAAAACATTGTGTGAAAATTTGACATTTACATTGTGATTATATTTACAATTTTTAGATTATTACCAAAAAATTGTAGATTATCTCAAATCTTCAAACATCAGAAGAATCAATACCTACAAGCAGTATTTATTTTATTTAATTAATAAAAAGCAGCAGTAGCAAACGACATTTTTGAAAATTTTAACTAAGTTTTTGAACTGTAAAAAAGTAGCCAGTTCAGGCAACAAAGAATACTATTTTTATTTTTTTTTTATAAACACACCGAAACATTTCAAACTTCAAGAGTTACAGGTAGGTACAATTCTAAGCGTGCGAATGGAACATTTTTGTTACCGGAAAACTGTTAATCGTTTACGACATTTGCCGCTTGAGCAACGCTCGACATTTGAATCATTTTAATTAGTAATAAATATTAACCACATATGACTTAACACATGTACTCATTAAATTTTATAGAGAACAATTAGCTAACAACAATATTTAATCGATAGCTACATCATAAGTTTAGTAAAAATTTATACTATTTACTTCCGCAAGCTAAACTCAAATGTTTCATTTTAGCGTCATAAAAAAAATAGTTATTCCGTATTATGAAAAAAGATTAGGCCTAGATAGCAGTGCTGATACAAGCAACTAAAGAATGTTTGAAGTATACTATTTACTTCCGCAAGGTAAACTCAAATGTTTCATTTTAGCGTCATAAAAAAAATAGTTATTCCGTATTATGAAAGAAGATTAGGCCTAGATACCAGTGCTGATACAAGTAACTAAAGAATGTTTGAAGAATTTTCCTAGTAATGCTGTAGTAAGAAAATGAATCAAGCTACATTTAATTTTGATCGATCTTAGCGTACAAAAAAAAAGTATTAGCAAAAAAAAAGTTTTAATGTAATTTTAATGATAGTTCTTTACTAATTACGGTTTAATTATATCTTTTTCCAATGCACCCAAATTGTTTGTTAATAACTGTAATAAATAACACTAACAAATTAGTTACACGTTCTTTTCAGATCCCAATAAAAATTTCTAGGTTTCTTAAAATTAAATTCCCCTAATATTGGAATACTGGTGGTATTAAATTTTCTCATTTACAAAATATCCGAAGAATTCTAACCTTAGCAAACGGTTAAATGAACAAAAGAAACATTTTCTTCAGGCATACCTTCCTCGTTGTGTATATGCATCTTCACTGTTTGTTTTTATTGTAAAAAAAATATATTTAAATGATATACAAGCGCGCGAAGTTAACTTCTTCCTTATTGCATACAATAAAATTTCTTTCAGTATTATACAGCGATCAACAATATGTCATTGTCATTAATTTAAATTATACTATTAAGAGGGGTGTAACTGCAAATAAATACTCTAGCAAGGTTAAAGTCCATTGTTATGGATAGCGCTCCAGAGGAGGACAATAATGCCATAACCAGATGGCGTTTTTCTTTATTTGCCACATATTTTCCATAGCCTATAAAATGTAGAGTCCACGAACATCAATTCGGCACCGTGGGCAACAACTGGACCTTTCGAAAAGCTCTCTTCAGCGTATTCTCACGAAAGATTTGAATCTTCATGCTTACAAAGTTCAATTGACTCAAACCATTTTATGCATTAATTATTTTTTCCTGCTGTTTCCTGATTCCTGATTTAAAGTAATAATTTTGACTTATGATAAGTTTGTTATGGTCTATTAGATCTATATATCGGAGTTTTGTTGACCAATAGTTTTAGAGAAGCTTTGTTAGATTCTTGATCAATCACAGAGTAATTTGTTTCACTATGTACACCATCCTAAGTTTTAAGAGAACAATGGTAAAATAGCATTATTTCTAAGAACAAGACTATCGATATGTGAAACAAAGATATAGAATATAAATTGAAATGTAAATTCGCACATTACCATAATCAAACAATCCAAGCACCACAAATATTTGCACTATCGGCATGTAAATACATACACAAATTTCAAATACACTTATTACCATACGCATTTTAATACACAAATGTTTAATTTTGCTACTGAATATAATGTAAACATAGGGAAGTGAAGCAAACGAAATTATTTAATGACTATTATTTCAGCTTAACGATCGTATTTTGTGGTTTTAAAGTATTTAACTGGTATTTAATAAGAGTTGGTTGGAACCGGTTGGTTTTCGCTTCTACCGCCTTTAAAGTCAGAAAACGTAAATTTAATTGATGTAGACAGGTCAATATCCATTAAAGTTAGTTATTTTAGTTAATCCAATTTCGTTGAATCCTAAAACTGGCAGCGTATAAGTAGTGAAACGTTAAGGAAAATTGGAGGATCCAAAATGACGATTATTAATTGAAAATTTTATCATCAGTTTATAATTTTTCGTATTCCAGTTCCAACAGAATATAAAAATTGTAAATTTAAGCTTCGCTTCTACAGATACGGATCTAAAAACGCTTCGAAAAGAGATACAGGATGATAAAGACGTACTAACAAAACTTCACAATACGATATGAGATCCGAATGAAACTTGACATAAATCTTTGAAGTTTAGGATTTATCCCCATTTCTCTGTGAATGATAATAAGGTTTTTCTTAAAAAAAATATTCGCAGAAAAATAACATATGTTCCTGAAAAAACAATTTAATGAAACAAACAAGACACTTTTGCTTGACGTCAGTATCCCTCGTGCTTCCAAATTTTGCTCAGGCGTTATATCAATTAACATAAGCAAAATGTTAGTAAGAAAAATGGAGCAAGAACCCTTTATCACCGTAATCAAGGTCTATTGACATTTGAAAGCATAAGAAAAATGTAAGTCCCACGTATAACAAATTTGACGCGAATGTGTAATTTTTTGAAAATTTGTTCGGCCATCTTGGATCCGCCATCTTGAATTTTACAAAATTGACCTTGGATCCGTGATCAGCCACCCCGAAAACCCCCGTATACCAAATTTGGCGCGATTCTGTTCTTTTTTGAAAATTCGTGATCTCTGACCTTAATTGACTAGTTTTTTTATGTTAAAAAAGAACCATCAATTCTGAACGCGGATTCACGTTCGGCGGAGTCGTAACCATAGAAATGAACATTTGAATATAGAAAAAAAAAATTTGTATTTTTCCTTGCACTTTTTCGTGAACTTTTACTTTTTTTGACCTGTTTTTTGAGGTTAAGAAATTCCTGCGATGTGATACCTCAATTCTTATACTGGATTTGTAATCTACTATTTTTTTGTGTGGTTGTGTAATCATAGACCAACACCATCAATTTTCAATTTTGAATATCGTAACTTGTTTTGAAGCTGTTTTAAGAAAAGTGTTTTTGGTGCCACACCTTTATCACCCTGTATCAAGTTATCCATAAGAAACTTTTTGATTAAATTTGTATTTTCTATCTACAGTTTCAACTTGGTTCCGTATTTTACAATTATCCGTATATATTTACGTAAACAGTTGAAAAAGCACTCACAACTGTTGCGACATCTCGCGAGGTCAGCAGATCGCGCAAAATTATTTCAAAGAAAAGTCCGTATTTCTAATAATCAATTTATTTTATAAATATACGAAATCTCACTATGCACATAGAATACAAAATGGTACAAAAACACTTCACAAAATCGAAGCAGAATAAATTAGTATCTGTATCCTCCGTTCTGGCTGTAACTTGTACCTCCAGGCCTACCACCGGCACCGAAACCAGCTCCGGCACCGGCGCCCACTCCGGCACCAACCCCAGCGCCAGTACCAGCGCCAAAACCGGCTCCGGCTCCGGCACCGTTGCCGCCTCTGTATTGCCCGGAGAAGTCTTCCCTGTACTGGCCGTCATCTACAATGCCGCGAGCTTCGTCGGCCAAGTTCTGCTGGATGGCTCTCTGGATCTCTTCCGGGATTGGTGGTGCGGTTGGGATGTGAGATCCTTGGGGTACGAATCCGTTTTCGTCGGCGGTGTAGGAGATGTGGACTTGCTGGCCGTCGGGGGAGGTGTATGAGAATCCTCCTTGAGCTCGTGTTCCGTCACCTAAAAAAATATTAAGGGTTATTGGAGGAGATAGTCAATCATGATGATTACGAACAGAAAATTTTGTTTACTTGCATGAAAACCACGACAAGAGAGTTCACACGTAAAATGGAAAGGGTGTACTAACAACAAAGGAAAGCTTTTCAAAAGTTAAGAGTCATAGACTTCAATGATCTTTGCTTAATGAGAATGAGACTAATTTCACTTAAACTGTGGTCTATATGACAAATTAGCAGATAATAAATTAGCAGAAGGTTATAAATAAAGCTTCATTTAGGAAGGAAAGATCAATAATTTGTTAAAAAAAAACTACAAGCAGAAAATTATGAACACCAAACAGAGACAAATATGATAATTATTGGTTTCAATAATCTTTCAAACAAATGAAGAGAAATGATATACTTATAAATAGTATTAGAATAATTAGGGTTCAAAAGAAAGATATTGGAGATGGTACAACTAATAGTAAGATATGCAGGAAAAATGTGAAAGCTAAAGAGAGAAGATGAAATATTTTTCAAATTAATGATTTGAATTGAATTGAATTTTTACAGCAAAACTTATCTTAACATCTCTAAAAGTTTGAATATATTTTTCTGCTGATACATTTGCAAGCGCAGATAAAAAATTACTGGAGATATGGGAAAGGAATGTTCTGAAAAAATATTTAAGGGCAAGAAAGTTGAAAATTATGGAAAATGAAAACAAATCAAGAATTTAAAGAGCTACATACTCAAGCAGGTGTAATGGGGATAATAAAGGATCAAAGAATATCCTGAGAATCCAAAAGACAGAGTAAAAATATTTCAGAATAGCTTAAAAACAAAACTGAGACTGACACTGGAAACGAAAAAAAAGTATGCGATAAAAAAATATTTTAATTTTCCGTAAAAAATGTACCTCTAGCGTCGCCTTGTTCTTGTGCTTGAATTCCATTTCCAGATTCGTAGGCGTAGCTGTAGGTGCCGTCTCCGTCGTTTTTCTCGTCGAAACGAAGGATTGGGACTTGACGTCCTCCGGAGGGACCACCAGCGCCGAAGCCGCCACCTCCAGCACCTCCTACTCCGGGAGCTTCGGCTCCTGGAAAACCTCCCGCTCCGGCCCCGGCTCTGAAGCCTAGGGGTACAGGGGGGAGGTAGTCAAGACGAGCACATGCCGCGATGCCGACGAGAGCCAAACCAAGAACAACCTAAGAAATATTCATTTTTTTAATTGTGAAGAAGAATCTATGAAATTATTATTATTTTTTTCAGTAAATGTAGGAAATTAGTTTCACGTTCCGAATTCAAAGTAATAAACACAAAAGAGCAAAAAAAAAGAATTTATGTCACGTGGGTGACAATTTTTTTCGGAAAATGTCCGAAAGGCCATACTACAAAGGTGATTTCCTTAAATCAAAAATAAATCGACTTAGATCAAGTTACACTTTGCTTTCTTAAAAAAGTATGGCCAACATTTTTTTCTGTTGCAATTTTATAAGACAACTTTACCATTTTTTTAAATAATTCAAAGAAATTTGAGGAATGTTACTGATATAACCGAAGATGAACTTTTTATGGTTTATTTCTTACATAAATCTGAGACTGCTAAGAATACTTTCAACAAACAGCATTTCACTGTGCATTTTTTGTTGTTCGAAATTTTGTAAGAATGCAAGAATTTTATGTAACGTTATTTTGTTTCTGTAAAAAAAAACAGTAATGAAGAGCTTAGTTATGAAACTAGTTAAACTTTGCTAAAAGTGTGCTTTTATTAAAAATTTTAACAATTCGTTTTAGTTCAATTTTCCATTATTCGAAAGTCAACGCCAACTGTGATATGTCTTTACCTAAATATTGTTTTGCGGAACTACATTTTTTATATTTTTCACATTTATCTATTAGTTACACATTAACACTAACATTTGAAAAGAGCAAGTTTTTCTTAATCATAAATAATATTTAAAATAACTTGAAATTTAGCAAAAAAGATGAAATTTAATTAGATTCCACAAAAACTCAACTGTTTTATGAAATTGTGCATTTTAACAAGTTACAAGTGAACTTTATTTTAAAACAAATAATGTGGTGTTTTATAAAATATCTCTGGTTGTTGTCGAAATATTTACCGATAAGAAATATTTTAGAAAACAAAACACCGTTTCCAGTATTCTTAGCGACCTTATGTTTACTTAATAAATCCCTTCTAAAAAGCCCCTATTTCATTGACACATCTTTAAAAGTTATGGAGTAATCTTCAAAATAATGAAATAAAAAATTTGAAGACCCATTTCAAAGAAACAACATTGCACTGAGGTAATTTCATCTAATTTGGTTTATTTTCATCCAATAAAATTGCCTTTGAAGTGTAATCCACTAACTTTCCGACACCCTGTATATTTATTACATATTTATAAATTGCTATAAGTATAAAATGAATGCTATAATTTTGAAATATAGTTTGATCTGTAGTTCATTCTTGTTCTATAATTTGATATTTAAGAACCACTGACAGAAAGCAATTTTTTAATCTGTTTTAAAATGCTCAAAATTTAGAAAAGAGTCAAATTGCATATAATTTATCTATTGCTACCCAAGACTATGAGAGACACATTAATCTTGAAATATACTTGTGTGATTATTGTACAATTCCATTGCAACCAAAAAATCTTATAAATTGTGATGGAGGACATGAATTTTTGATTTTAATATGAAATATTTGACAATTTTAGACTGCATTAAATTATCTTTAATTGATTTTCTGTGGGAATTTTATTTAATTTCAGTAAATTTTCTAATGCTCTCTCATCAAGATATTATTCTTTCAAAAAATACTTACAAAATGACGTATAAGCTTTGTTGAATTCACTTTCACTATTACAATGTTGAGCGATTCGCACACAAATCGATTTGGGTCCATAATTTTTTTCTAAATTCACTGTTACAAAAAAAAGCACTTTTGGCTGACTCGAAATTTAACGTATCAGGATGCGTACAACGAACGAGCCCCGGTCAATGCCCTAAGCGTCGGCGAGCAACAGAAATCAAAACGCGGATTTAGGTACAATGAATTCGAGAATGTGAAACTGAAAGTGTGGAAGACCAACTACAACTTTCAAAGCGTCCCAATCAACGAGGATGAAAAGTCACTTACCTGCTTCATCTTGAACTAGTTAAGTTGAATAATAGAAATGATCGAATGATACTGGTGGAGATTCGGCACTTAGCTTTTATACGGACGCGTGAAGCCTCCCCCGAATTCCTAGGAGGATGGGTTATTAAATTTGAAATATTTTTAGATTGTAAAACGAGATCACCTGCATAGAGGATGGGCAAGGTCGATGGTAACGAAGAGTCGCACTACATCTTCAATTACGGTTACGCTTGCATCCTATTGTCGGGTCCATTGACAATTATTTAGCCGCCATTGTATCTCATGGTTTGTGCAATACCCTCCGAGGCTGCTATTATTCTTTAATAATTGTTGTTACTACCCATAAATTGACCACCGCCTTAGTTATTACGGTTTAGTCGGAAACTGGGTGTTGCTGGCACAATACCTTGTTAAATCTCAGTGTTTTCCACATAAATGAATATTTTTATTAACAAATTATACAGTGGCCCACTAACCTTAACCTTAACATCTACAGGTGAGTTAGTTGAATCGTGTAGAAAATTTAATGCTATACTTACGGAATATTTGGAAACCATTAACTAATTTTTGGCGGGTGTTAACACGACCTCTCAAAACTATTATGGTATGAGGTCGGAATGAATCAAGATTAACCTTTTGATAATGTTTTTAACATCCATCTAAATTGATTTGAATATAATTACCGGCCTTTGGATATATCTGGCTGATGTATTGCCTGAACTTTATTCCTGGCACATGTAAAATGTTAAGATTGTGTGTATGTGTACAATTTTGGATCGCTTAAAAGCTAGTCATCTATGTTATTATAAACAAATTAACTTTGCGGAATTGTATATATTATTTTACAAAATTCACTAAATATTTAAAGAAAAATTCGTGTCTGAAAAATGAATTATTTAATTACCTGATTATAGTGTACTTTGGAAAATAGTTCGTATACATACTTTCTATCATTACAGTCTTATACTACATACCTAATAAATAAAAATTCGGGAATTCGAGAAAATTTAAAACTTCAAGAAATTTTTTATTTCTATTATTACGAAACCATTATTTATTATTGATTAATTTCTTCTGAAATTATAATATAAACTGAAAAATATCATATCATGTGCTTGCTATTATAAAACAATTCATTTACAAAATATGGAAATCACATCGTTTTTTAGGCCCACATAGATCATGTGTTGGTAACGTTTCGGAAGAACTTTTCATAATAAAAAAATAAAATAGGGGGGGCTGACCCTGATATCTCAAAAAGGGTTGCACATATATTTGCAAAATATTTGTCTTCATAATGAATACAAAACAAGAGTTTTCTATTTTTCAAACAATTTTTAATTTTCTTAGTTACATGATTATGAAACAGCCACCCCTACTTTAATTGATTTCACAAATTTCGTTCGAAATTTTTTTTATCAAAGTTCTGTATCTATAAAGTTTCCCCTGAAAATTGAGAGAGGTTCCAATTATCAAAATATGAACAATTCAATTTACGCGAGACGTCACTCTATTCTCGAACAAAATCTTTAACAATAAAATCTTTGACAATTTAAAATTCATGCAGTATGTATTATGTAATCACTAATTACAGGAAAATTGGCATTGTAAAAAACGGATTTTATTGAAAGTATAGAAGAATTCGTTTTTGGAAAAATAGTATACTTTGTAGTAAAAGACCATAATGACATAAAAAAGCGTTAGATATCAATTATTTCTATCCTATATAGTTTTATGTTCCATGTAATGTAAGCAATTAATCGAAATTAAGGATTTCTTCATGCCATAATCAACATGAAACTGTCATTATTTGCCTCATAAGATGAAAATACATTACTTTTTTTAAACAAAACAATACTAAATTTCCATCCTCTATTTAATTTCAACGGAACATTTTTTATACACCCTAAAAATATTTAAAAAAATAAAAAGACACTAAAATATTTCACTTCTAGCTGACACTAATGCTTTTAATTTTAATAATTAATAGTTTGTTTAGTAACAGTTCATCTTGAATTACATAAAAGCATTTCCTACTCTAAATAAAATATTGTTTCGTTCATTGTTACCATTTTAACTCCACTGAATTTATATTAATTCAGAAGAAGGTTTATAGGTATATTTAGTTTAGTGTTTTAACTACAAAAATCATAAATTTAATATTTAAATTTAAATGTTCATCTTAAGGCATTTAATGGCATCAAATTGATTAATTATCTGCCCATCTACATAAGGCATAAAAATAACATTAATAATTTTAAATGAAAAATTAAAAAATTTCTTGTACAGGAATGTATATATGATGTATCACATTTCCTTAACAGCAAGTTTTAGTTACGAGTATCTATGTAATGACTCTTTTATTGACTATTCCTATACTTTATTATAAAGTCTCCAAGGAAAATAAAGGTTGTTTATTTAAGAGAGAAAAATATCACTCTCGTCTCCATTAAGTTATGAGTTTTTCACTTACCTCACTGATACATTATCCTTTCATTCGTTTACAAAGTACAAAAAAAGTAGTTCTGATTTTAGTTTATTTGTCCCTTTCTAGTAACATCGATTAATTTATTTTTAAATTTATCTTTCAAATAGTTCAATGAAGTGAAAATCTAAATCATTTAAGTACCATACTAATTACATTTCTATCAAAATGGGGAGGTTTGCCAAGAGAAATACAGAAGGACCATATATTTTTCTTTAATTAGCAATTTGGAAATTGATAAAAAATTATCTGAATGGTTGTCAAAATATGTTTCTTGAAAATGTCAACATTTGCATTTAGCCAAAAATAGTTAAGCAAAAATATAGAACACAAAATTGCTAATGTCAAATGACCTTAAGGTTTTAAAAATCAGTAGCTATAAACTACTAATAAAAAAGACTAAAACATCGAGTGCATTCTATTAAAATTCTGATTATTTCCAGTTCAACTGACGAATTAATATTTCAGTTATCTGAAACATGTAAATAATTTTCTTTCTTATGAGTAAAAATTAATATTAACAGGTTTTACCTAGAATGAACTTTTAAAACCGCCTTCAATTACGTTTTGCCGCAGTATTGAATTAAATGCACAAGCATTCTTACAGAAATAATTATAATTCGTAATTGATACAGTCGTGCGAGAGTTTGCGAATGAATATTAAACAAGATAATGAATAAATTTATCTCGATATAACCCTTTAATGTTTATAAAGCTGTCGCCCGCAGTTGCATGTGTAATAATGAGTGTCTATCTGTATAATTTGCATGTTCTATTATAAAGAAGATGAAAAAATTTATTACTCGTACTACCGCTACAGCTTCCTCAAAGCTACTTAGCGATTATATTTCAGACTAACAAGAGATTAATTCATAAAATTAACATTATTTACTTGTTCACGTGTTGAATTTGAAACTCGGAATAATTTATAGCACTTAGAAACGTTTTCTTTAAGTTTGCAAAGCAAATTCAATCGATTCAAGTTCTATTACTATTATTTTTTTATTATTATTCAATGTTTTTATTTACGTATTATTACAAAAACAAGCGATTTTATATCCTTATTTATTTTTAAAGGTACAAATGCAGCAAAATTGATTTTTATTGTTTCAATTTTGGATAAAGAAAAATTTAATTGGTGTTGTTGCTGATTGATCAATGTAAGAAATAGATGTTTTCTTATTAATTAAAATTCTTCAGAGTAACGACCAGTAAATTTTTCTATAAAAAGTGATAAGCAGATATGAAAAATTAAAATAAATATAAATATCAAAATGAAACCTCTATTATTAGCCTTTTCTAAAGGAAACATCAATATTTGAGAAACTATACCTACCTGACGAGTAAAACTAAAAATTACTACTGTAATGCTTTAGGTATTGTTCAAATTTGGCTTTAATTTATAAATTGAAAGTATTTTTTTTAGGTACGATAAAGCATTAAAAGTATAATGGAAAAATTGATTATCCTATCATTTTTCAGTTGGCGTTTATATGATTTTTAACTCATTATGTATAGGGAAAGTTAAAAGCCTTGTATATATTGTTGCATGTAGTTTGATGTTAAGTGTTGGATCTACTTCAGTAAAAAAATTGAAGCTATTAGGTTTTTCTTAGCTTTACTTAAAGAGAAATTTTTAAAACTCAAGCATAATAACTTTCCTTCATTATATGAATATGAATTAACTTTTATGAATGCATTCCAAAAGTAGACTCCACTCATTTTATATATATATATAATAAATTAGCATACCACCTTATGCAATATTGTTCTGGTTCGTTTTAAAAACGTAAAAGTAGTAAACTTGACATTGACTGTTTTCCTTATGTTTCATATGCTAATTTTACGGAAATATTTACAATTTATGTTTCAATATTTGAATATTTCTAGCAGTTAATAAACTGCAGCGAATACAAAGAAGATTTGTCAACACATTGTCGTCTGAGTAGAACAGAAATAATATCATGTCATGTCTCAAAACCTTGTAAATTTTATTTCTATCCCGATAATAATAATAATTGCTCGAAATTCTTATTTTCTTATGGGAAAAAGATATTTTTTATACAAAAAATTATCTGTGATTTAAAATAATTATTATTTTTAATCCCCGAGGTTATTTCAGTTTACTTCAAATAGTAGGTTGTGACGAAAATGAAAATGAGACGACAGTATTTTAAAAAAGTAAATGTTTGGTATGCGGTCTCCTTTTATGGAATAATAGGGCCATACTCCTTTGAAGATCATGCAATGAAAATAGCTACCTGAATATTCTCAAATGTTTTCACTAATGAATTGGAAAATCTACCATTGATCTACCAACATTCCTTTTATTTCCGGATAAATCAGATAATAAAGAAATCATTAAAAACTAAAAAACACATTACAATAATTGCTCAAAATAACTGTCATTTTGTTGATGCACAGCTTAGCTCTACGCCTTATTCCATGAGAAGCACAAAGAATTTCAAATTCATTGTTCCTTAGCATATTAGAGACCCAATTTATTTTTTCTAATAATTTTTCTCTAGTCTCTATTTCGGTGTTATAAACGATATTAATTAAATGTCCCCAAAAGTAATATCTTGTGGATTAAGG